TGTAGTGTGTGTGTGTGTGTGTGTGTGTGTGTGTGTGTGTGTGTGTGTGTGTGTGTGTGTGTGCGTGTGCGCCTCGAGGACACATTAGTTCATCTAGTATTGTTCTTCGTTCTCTTCCTCATTTTTTCTTATACGCATCCTTCGTATCATGTTCTCCCTTGTTCTAGCTTTTCCTTCATTTTGAAGAGCGGCATGAGACTTCCTGGAAAATATTCTCTGGTCTCATTCGAATATCTTGATACATTATAATACTTTTGGAACAAGTATCCGCAAGACTTTGCAGGAAGTACTTCCTAGAGATAAAACTTGTGCTTTCCGACTTGAGAATAGTATGTTTTTACAATAATAAAACATCTCAATTTACATTAAAGTTTTCAGTATTATTGCTTAAAGATGCAATGTTAAATGCATAACTCTATAAATGATTTAAAAACATTTTATACGCGATGAAATATTGCGTATTCTTTTACTTTGCATTTCCTTGCAAGAATGTATGACGGCGTCAATCACACTTTCATAGTTCTCGGACTTCCGCGCTTTATCGTTTCTTGCGTAGATTGCGTTATGCAATGCATGTTATAAAGATTTCAAGGACTTGTATTTCTATTAACCGCAGAAGAAAAAGCGCCGACGGTTCGCTTGAAGACTCTGATAGATGGTTCGAAGATAGACAAAGGTTTATAGTCGGTTCACGGCGGCGTCGTTCTATTTTCACCGTTAACGCTAAAAGACATTGGCGGCTGCGACGTCGGAATTGCTTTAATCATCAAAGCAAAAATAGCAATGACAAGATTATCTTTATAGCGATTGCATAATATCGTAGATAATTCTGCGACAAGGACCGGTCTTCACTCTCATTCGATACAAGAATCCAAGATCAGGTTTATTCGCGAGATCGATCTTCCTTTCTCTCTTTTCTCTTTTCGTCTTCTTCATCTCTCGAGAAGTGCACAAAGAACTGGGATCACGATCTTCAAGGTTCTTATTCACATTTGCGATTTTAATTATTTACACCTAGAAATGGATATGAAATATTATTTAAGTTTTTGTCACCGATTGAAGATTTTTATGTATATATTACCCTTTAAAAACATTTTTCTACGTGAATTTTTAAAACAACCAAAAGAGATAGAGAAGATTCCTAGATACATACTGTCACTCTTTCTGCTGTCTAAAGCATATGTCAATATTAGATATATGAATAAACCTCCAACGCTTACCACATGACAGTATTTTCTCAATATAGCGCTTGCCATAAAATTGACCGTAATCACGTTCGAGGCAATTCGAGACCTTTGAACGACGCGAGAAGATGTAATAGAATTTACAGGATAGAAATGCGCCTGCCAAGAACTGAGAATCGCGATCTTTCATCCGGGACGAATCGGGGAAGAGGCTCGCGAAATATACAACCGAGAGAAACTGTGTCCCGCGCTATGGTCTACTCCATTAATACTTGAGAATGAACGTGCAAAGGTCGTTACAAGTAAATGCCAAGTGACTGCTCAATGAATTCGAGAACCGAGGGCCGTTTGTCTGTCAGATATCTTCCACGATACAGTCTCGCACGCTTCGCACCGATTAGGTCCATTAGTCATCGCTAGATGTTCTTCGGATTCCCGAAATCCGACGTTATTCCCTTTCGAGCGGGTGGTCCGTCGGAAGTTGTAGAGAGAAGTCGGAGTTTAAATCCCGAAGTCGGATTTAGGACGGGACGTTCTTGTCGCCGCTAAGAAATTCGGTCTGGCTGGTTTCATCTTGCCGGGATAAAACGCGGGATCATAGTACGGGGCACGTAATCTCGATTTGTTGCCACGGATAAAGCCCTCATTGCACCGAGCTGACACGCGGGCGGCTTCGCGTTTCGTCTTCCAAGCTGCGCCGACGTTTGTAGGAATGTCGTAGATGAATCGTTTCCGTTTAATTTGCCAGCATGATTAACGATAGAAAGCGCGATAGTAGCTGAACATGTATATTCTCTTGGACATTGCAAATGCGCCTATCCCCCCCCCCCCGCGATGACCTTTGTGACGCTTATGTATGTATACGCGACCGCCACGGGTGTAAAAACGCTGGGTTTCCGGGAGGAACTGTTATTAATGATTAATTGTGGACGGTCGAGAAATTTATTTTCAATCCTATCGATAATTATTCTTTCGAAAAAATATTTATAAGCTATCTCGCTTAATTTCTCGACATATGATCTTTAACTCTTTATGAGTTACACATGTGCTGGGAGATTCAATTGTTTATATATTAGTTATCTGAGCGATAATGTGTGAATGAAATATACATTTTAGGCGTATTAATAGTATATGAAAAAAGAAATTTATTAGTTTTGACGTCTTTTATTTGATTTATTTATGCACTTTTATTCAATTATTAATTTTATAAAATTTGTTTCTTATAGTTTATCATATTTTTTATCTCGTAACGCTTATCTACATCGTGACTAATCTAATCTTTTGATCAACGTAATATCTGTAACACTTATCAAAAATTTTTAAAATTATTTTGATATTATTTTTTCGGAATTATTAAACGTGCTTTATCAAAATCTTGACTGAAAATGACTCATACTACACCTGTATAAAAACATGTGAGTGATCGTCGTATTGAAATCTTGATATCATTCTCCTTTCCTTGCCGAGTCAACTACGAAACGTGATCACGTACAATCGTATCCGTACAGATACGTCGATCTGAAGCCGGTAATCGGATTAAGTGCAGGTGTGTCGTTCAGGTGGCTGTACATGATACTGTAGATACCAGCCGAATAGATTTGTTCTCATCTGCATATTTCTCCATTCGCGTATTACGTAAAATCTGATATCATTTGCGTTAAATAAACTTTATTATTTTAATAAAAAAGAGAAACATGTTACATCTGTCAAAATCATGGAAATCAGTATAGTTCTATTTTAAATTTGGAATTGGCAGATAATCAATCATGTCTGGCTGGTTGTTTATGTCAAATGATTTAATAAATATCATAATTTTGTGAAAATATCATAATTGTATGAAAATAGAAAATTAACTTGTATCATCACGTATAAAAGCGATTCTTTTTTCTTCTCATTTAAGTAATTTCTATACCTTTCAGGTTTGGAGTCTGTTTTGGTTTCATTCAAGAATTCCTTCTCCATAAGATACATATCACTGTAAAATACGGTAGAGATAATTTAACAGCGATTATCTATGTAGAGCTTTCTCAGCTTCCACGCTTGATTTCTGATAATAGAATTTAAAGCCGAAAACAAGAATACAATCGTGATGGATGAACCAATTTAGCGTATCTATCTATGTCCATAGATCGCAGAAAATATAACGTTTTCAAATCGCGCTTGATAAATTCCCGGCTATCTATGTAGCTCGCGATAAATCGTCATTATTTGCGGCCTCGTCGCCGGCGGATGGAACGTCGCGGTGATTAAGATGCGATCGGGAACGCGCGTTAATTAGACGAGAACGCCGTGACACGCGAGTGACATGCACGATTGTGCCTATGGTGCTCGATTATAGAGGAGGCAGAGCGATCTTATTGGCGTACGCCCACGTGCAAAGACAAGTCCACCCGACTTCGCCCCGTCCTGCGACGGTCGTCGTTCTCTTCCTTTCACGCGCGCCAGTCCATTACGCACGCGCCTTTTCTCCCCCTCGCGCCTCGTCGCGGCGATGCATACGTGCGTAGGCGTACGCACATTATTCACGTGCGTGCAACTACGGAATTCGTCGGACACGCTGTCGACCGCGGCGAATCACGCACGCGAGGGTTAAACGTCATCGGTCGGTGGCTTCGGACGACGGACGATTAGAACGTTGCTCCGCGCGGCCTCGGCCAATTCCTTCTATCGCTAAATTGAGAATACCGACGTATATTTATGTATCATTCCGTTATGATGATATCGGCCATGCCCCGCTATCAGTTTGCGTCCCATTTGTATTATGACACCTTCAATGTCGTGAGACTATCACAAGTTCTAATTTATTAGGAGATTTTCTTCGGAGATTCGAGTTACCTGTGTGAAGATAGTCCCCCA